TATTACTAACTGAACTAGTATAACTAACATCCGAACAAATGTGTGAAGTTACATTAAAATAATATTCAGAATTTAAACATTTATATTTTATTCTTTTTTTTCTAATTAACTTTTAAAATGTAATATAAACTTTGTATGTTTAAGAAACTACATCTTAATGGCTAATTAAGAGGTGTAATCCTGTAATTAAGAGGTCTGAATCTCTTCCCTAAAAGTTACACTCGGTGCTATGATATATCTAGAGTTAAAACAGTTAAATCCCATTTTTAAATCACTAATTTAATTACATACTTCCTTCCTATTGAAATTCCTTGGTCTTTACTGTTTGTTTGGCTTGATCATTCCCCATGCTTGCAATCAAAAACCTGAATTTTTGAACATATTTTGCAAAGTACATTAACAGTTTGTGTATTTTATTTTGGTTGTATTAGGGAAGGCTTGGAAAATCTGGATTTATATATGTTCTTGTCACTGTTGTGTAGTTTGGATTCAAGGAACATAGGAGGACAACAGGTGTGGAAGCACAAAAGCTTGTGGTGAATTGAGGAAGTTGGTAGAAATTGTTCAGTTTGTCATAACTTTGCTGATAAAACTAAAGGTAATAATGAATAAAAACCTTAAACTTTGTGGTCATGACATGAAGTTACTTTTTAAAAAACTCTTTGTAAGTGGCAAAATTTAAAAAGAAAACATTTCTAGTTTTTCAAGAGTGATTGGATCCATTGTCTTTTTTCAAGTCTGGTGTATTCTAGTTTTGATTTATATGGCATTATCCATTTGATTTATTTGGCGTTATTTTTAATTGTTAAATGAAATTTAACCTTAGTATGTGTTGTGTAGAAAGTACACCAACCTCTATATTTAAGCTACAGATTGTTTCTCTTAGTTCTAGTATTTGTATTTTTGCTCTTTATGATAATCAGAATTTACTTTGGAGAGAAAATACAACAACAGACAAAAGAAGTGGGTTGAAGGCAATCCTGTTCTAAAACCAGAATCAAGTATTGAGGCTAAAATTTAGTTTCTTAAATTCAAGTCAGCAATTTTATTGTGATGCTAATACTTTAACACACTTCTGAACTTCAGTAATTGCTCACGGTAGGATTGAATTAGAATTATCTGATCAGTAATCAGTAATGTGAACTGTTTATGTCAATACACATAGAGATTTGCACTACTGTAGCATCAGATATTGGGAGATTCAGAAATGATGTATACATGGTGGATATATCCTTTCTGAATTCCTAAAGAATCAATTTTTATAAAGAGGGACTTCATGATGGTATGTTGAGCAAAATATGACTCTTGATTTGGCAGCAATAAGACAGCAATACTACATTGTTTTCATTATCATGGTTCAGTGAATAACCTCTGTTGGTGTCTACATAGAATCTACTGTTGTAGACTCATAGAGTTAGCCCATGCTCTAGAGTTGGATTATTAACAATATTGGAATATCTCTCTTCCCCAATCCTCTGGCTATCAAAAACCAGATGACATTCTAGTCATACATTGCTTGTAGAAAATTGGTTTTGGTAAGGCTTGTGTGATTGGGCCTTCCTTCCTCAAGGACCAGCTGTCAAAATATCCTTTGCCACAAAGATGGTGTTGTTAGAAGAGGATACTCCTTCTTGAGGCTATGATTGAACATAAGATTGGAGGCATTGTCTTAAGCATTTTGAACCTGGTATTTTGGTCATTGGCACATAGAGTATGAAAGAGTATGTGTGTTCCTGCTTGCCATCCTCCATTAAAAATATGCCACATCACTTTGACTGTGCTCAGGGGAAGTCTTATATCCGAGCACATAAGTAATCAAGCCTCAAAATTAAAAGATACATATTATTGTTGCAAGGTCAACCAAGATGCAGTTTTACTTGGTAAAGTTGGTGGAAAGTCTTCTGATCACTGTTATAACCTGGGCAACTAGGTTCAGCAGTGAATTTAGATCATACCAAAGCTGTGAGCCTGAATGACCAAAAAGGGCTGTAAGTACAATCACTAATAGAAGACCTTCTTCCTCTAAACTTCAAGATCTGCAAACAAGTATTAATTCAGTTGTGGCTGCTAGATACTTTCAGTCAAATCCAAACATCCATATTCTGCATTTGGGGTATGTGGAAGTGAGGAATACTGTATCAGATAGGAAAACAATGGCTGGCATCCAAAGAATTGCCACAGGAGACAAAGTGGACTTCAGACTTTAACAGATCCCCATGGTGTGTGGTGAACTTTTTTTTTTAATTGAGGATTATTCAAAAGCAGTTTGGGATACAACATATATGGCAGTTTTCAAAAGAAATAAAAACCAGCATTGCACTGATCAAGCCTTGCTCTTGAGCCTGAGCAGATCTTTGAATCCCAAGCTATATGGTGCATCAATATACAATTAAAATAAAATGTAATGAATAATAGAACATGGAACGATGATGATATTTTGAAATTATTCTGTTCTATGTGTGTAACCTTTCGGTTAGGAAAACTTGTATTAGCTTTTATAATGGAAAAGTTAATTCATTATTTTTGTATGCAGCTTGGCAAAAGAAAAGGTTATGTATGAAAAAGAAGCAAAACAACAAGAAGAAAAGATTGAGAAAATGAAAGCTGAAGATTCTGAAAATTATGCCATTAAAAAACAGGTAAACAACTTTATAGTTCATGAATATATGTTATCAGTTGTTATTTTTAACTGAAAAGTATTGTGTGTAGGTTTTTTTAAAAAAAGTTTCAAATTTGTGTTTTTGTGGACATATAAAAAGAATATTTAGTGCTATACTAGAAGTCTCCGAGTTGAGGTCCCAGGGAAAGGAGTTAAACTTCCTCTCACCTGCCTGCAGTCTGGACTGTTCATCTTCACTTTGGGTGTAAAAATGATTGCCTACATAGTTAATTCTAGAAATATTAATGGTTTGCAGAAATAGTAACGAAATAAGCATTGGGGTGAAATAACTGGTCATTGGTGCTCTGGAACAGGTTTCAAGGATTAGAAATGTTGCCTTCTCACACAGTGCATGGCACTGGCAGTTTGTGACTATGCCATGTGCCAGCCCTCCTCCAACCTGTGGAATTGCAGTTGTCCTATCAGTCAGCCCTTAGGTCTGCAGATGCTGTTGCTGAAAGGCAGGTCAGCTCTGAGTAAGGCCTCCCTCATCCATGATCTGATTATGAATGAGACGGTTGATCTAGTCTGTTTCACTGAGACCTGGGTAGGTGAGCAGGGTGGAGTTGATGCAGCATCAGGGCAGACTTGAGCATTTGTTTTGGGAGTGGGTGTTGCTGTAGTCTGTAGATATTCCATCTCTTTCCAGGCAATCTTTTCAGGACTTCATAGGGCCTGTCCCAACATGACACCAGCCCAATGCATTGGCAGGCCACAATCTGGACCTTGTTTTCTCAACTGAACAGGAAGAGGGTGATCTGAAGGGGGGGGATATTGACATCATTCCCTTATAATAGTAATATCAGTTCCTGTTGAGGTTTAGGCTTTCAGCACCTTTTCCCCTTTGCAGAGATGGGGAACCGATTAGGGTGGTTTGCCCTTAGAGGCTGATGGATCCAGTGAATTTCCAGAGGACTCTGGGGAAATTTTTAGATGCTATGATTGGCACTCCTGTCAAAGCCCTGGCCAACCTCAGGAACATGCAAATGGCTTGGGCCATTGACACAATTGCCCCTGGGCACCTTACAAATGTGTAGTCTGTTTGGTTTCCTAGTATACTCCAAAGCATAGGGCAAGGAAACAAGCTGGAAGACCACTCAAACACAACTATAAGAAATATCTGATTGAATACTGGTGAGGACTCATCATTGAGCCTACCTAGTGGCAGTAAAGGCACCAAAGAAGGCATACTTTGCTGCCCCCTCATTGCATCCTCATTGTGCTGTCCAGCAGAGCTTTTCTGGTTAGTGCAGGGCTTCTTACCATCTGACCTGAAAGAGGTGGCAGAACTGATGGTAGCTGTGACTTGATTGCAAAGCTTTTTGAGGATAAGATCGCTTATATCCACAGCAGATGAATCTCAAGGGGTGTCCAGAGCTTGGTCCAGTCCTGTTCTGAGTTTTAGTTAGTAAAGCTTGAGGATGTGGGATGGGTAGGTGGCACTGCTTTGCAGTGGTTCTGGTCCTACTTGAATGGTTGTTTCCAGAGGGTGATGCTTGGGGACTGCTCTTCAGCCCTTTGAAGCCTTCAGTGTTGGGTTCCTCAGGGTTCAATTTTATCCCCCAACATCTACATGAAACTGCTGAGTGGGATCATCCGGAGTTTTGGAGTACAGTGGTACCTCGGGTTAAGAACTTAATTCGTTCTGGAGGTCCGTTCTTAACCTGAAACTGTTCTTAACCTGAAGCACCACTTTAGCTAATGGGGCCTCCTGCTGCCACCGCGCCACCGGAGCACGATTTCTGTTCTCATCCTGAATCAAAGTTCTTAACCTGAAGCACTATTTCTGGGTTAGCGGAGTCTGTAACCTGAAGTGTATGTTACCTGAAGTGTATGTAACCTGAGGTACCACTGTACTGCAATGTGTTATATGTAAGACTGCCTCTGAAGAAGGTTTGGAAACTTCATCTGGTGCAACATTCAGGGGCCAGATTGACCATCAGGGCAAGACAGTTTGAGCACATTACTGCTACACTGAGCCTACTGCACTGGCTTCCAGTTAGTTTCCGGGCCCAATTCAAACGGCTGCTCTTGACCTATATAGCCTTAAACAGATGAACCAGAGCAAACCTGGCAATCATAATCTGAAGCCAATCATTGTATGAAGCCTTTCTTTGTGTGCCACCTCAACAAGAGCTCTGGTGGGTGGCAACATGAGAATGGACCTTTTCTGCAGTGGCTCCCTCCCCGTTTCTGGGGTACTCACTGCAGGAGGTTTGCCTGGTGCCTTTATTAGATACCGTTAGGAAACAAGCAAAAACATTTCTCTATAATCAAGCCTTTGGCTGATTAACATTCTATGTCCTTTTAAATGTGTTTTTGGGAGGGAGGTTATTGGTTTGTTTTTGTTTTATTATGTATATTTTGTGTTCTCATTCTGTATTTTCATGTTGTGAATTAGCCTGTGACCTTCGAATGGAGGGCAGTATTTAAATTTAATAAATAAATAAATAAATTATTTCTAGTCTGTAGAAACTGATTTGCCTTAAGTTACAGTGCCCATCACTTTTATGGATTATAGGGTATCTTAGACATTCTATTGGAATCGTGCAGACTGTCCTGGTGCTGTTGTATAACTATATAAACATGGACTCTGTGGTCTTTTAATTGCCCTTAAGTTGATACACATGAGGTCTTTTAGATCCCTGATCCCTTATGCATGCATCATTTCTTTTAACTGAAAGCCTCTTAGAGTTATGGTTGTTGTTTTTTAAAAATACCGAATGTTAACACCGCTTAACTAAATTGCTGCATCATCATGAGAAGCTATTATGCTATTTTAATGATAGTTTGCTAAGAGACATTTAGACTCAATACCATGGACATAAAGTGCTCCTCAATTTGCTCTCCCCCTTTTAGTTTAGGTGCTCTATCTTTCTAGTGAAATCCACAAATAGTGTAGGAAGAACCCCATCTGCCACTGTTGTATCCCCAGCATTGAAAGTGGTTGTGTAGAAAGAAAGAAAAACAGATGATTCTGATCATGGATCTCTTACATTTTGCATACTTTGGTCCACAATTACATGTGGACCTTGAAATCTGTTCTGGTTTTCATAGTTGGAAGCTCAATAGGACATTGTTTGAGATACCTTGGTCTAGTGGCTTTTAAGAAGCTCCTTTTAATTCCTTTTGGTACCACAGCGCTTTATAGGTTGAAAGAAGCAACAACATTATAAAATAAATTCAGAATGGGAGCTTCTGGTCACTGGAGTTGTTGCTTGTTTTCTGAAGACAGAACGTATACTCTGTCTACGTGTCAGCTAAATTGTGGATATATTTTTTTCATGACTACAGGTGCTTGCAGTTGCACACACTGGATTCTGTTAATACTTTTGCTTAAATACAATCATGTGAGGGCTTAAAATTCATATAATTGTTGTTAATTAATTTTCATTTCTATCCAGGCTGGATACATGATAGAATTAGCTGTTTACACCACATTTTCAGTGCATGATTTTGAGGGTTAAAAACATTCCATGATTTTGTATGCAATTACAAAATTGTTTTCTGTAGATGTATGCAAGATGTTCAAATTCAGTGGGGTGCCAGACCAGTAATTTTGTTCAAAAAGCATGGTGAGAATAATCTCTCTCCTAAAATGAAGCCCAAGAATGAGTAATAACTTTTTATGCATGATAAGCATCAAAAATATGAGCCTGCTGGTCTTTGGTTTTCATTTTACTTTACCTTTGTCTTTTAGTCAGAACCTCCTGCAGTGAGCATACAATGTGATCAATAACTCAATAACTTTTTTCATGCAGTAATTATCTCTGTGTGGTATTATCTGAACACTGTTTTTATTTATTACCAAAAAGATGCAGGAGATATTTATATAACCAGCTGATCCCATTTTGGACGAAGCTGTTTTTGACAGCAGGGGAAATAGTTTATATTAAATAGTTTTTAAAAACAAATATTTCATGGAAAGCTTTTTAGCAGATCTTGCTTTGGTTTTAAAAAGTATTACTGAGTACTTTAAAAAAATTATTGTATATAGAGTAACTTCAATAGGTTTGCATTATTTTAAGCAGCTAAACAGTAGAGTTGTATACTAAAATTGAATAGTTCATATACTTAATGAACTTCCATTTTGCAGATTGAGGTCTTGCAAGAATCTCGAATGATGATTCCTGATTGCCAACGCAGATTAGAAGCTGCACATGCAGATCTTGCTCAGCTATTAGTAAGTAAAAAAGCAATGACATTTTAATAATCAATTGATTGATCATGCATATGTCTCATTGCTACCAAAACTTTAACAAATATTCATTTCAGGAATACTGAAGGAACTTTGAGAATCTAAACCAAACCTGCCACTTGCTTGAAGGAAAAGACATATTTAATATTTGTTTATTTTCTGTTAGAGTAACCAATCCAAACCAAAACCCGCCCCCCTGCAAAACATGCCTGCTAACTTTAAGGTACAAAAATTAAAATTTGCCCTAGCAATGAATCAACTACAGCTATAGTTAATTAATATTTAAACTCTTTGAGCTTGCAGCTTTAAATTTCTGCTGTTTATCTGTACTTTGGGAATTGGTGTAGAAGTAAACCTAGATCAAGTATCAGATTTGGCCTCAGGAATCCCAGGTTCATTTCCTTCTCTGCTGTGAAGCTTTGGGCTAGTCACCATCTCTGTGTCCGTATCACAGAGTTGCTGTGAGGATAAAATGGCGGTGGGGAGAACCATGTACATCAGCCTAAGAAGCAAAGGGGATGGGGGATAAAAATAATGCAGTGGGACTGAGTGTTCTCTCTCTATAATTCCCCACTTCAACTTTAGGCCCATACGAAACAGGATTTGAAATCTGCTTTAGACCTTGGTTTCAAAGTTTATTTAAGATAGAACCTTCATAGCATTAATCTTGGCTAAGATTTGTGACAGGGACTTGCCGATCAGAAGGTTGGTGGTTTGAATCCCCGTGACGGGGTGAGCTCCCGTTGCTCGGTCCCTGCTCCTGCCAACCTAGCAGTTCGAAAGCATGTCAAAGTGCAAGTAGATAAATAGGTACCGTTCTGGTGGGAAGGTAAACGGCGTTTCCATGCGCTGCTCTGGTTTGCCAGAAGCGGCTTAGTTATGCTGGCCACATGACCCTGAAGCTGTACGCTGGCTCCCTTGGCCAATAAAGCGAGATGAGCGCCGCAGCCCCAGAGTCGGTCATGACTGGACCTAATGGTCAGGGGTCCCTTTACCTTTACCTTTAAGATTTGTGGCAAGTTGCCAGGGGGCTTTAAAACTAAATATCATGATAAAGTGAAGAGCTATGTTAGGTCTGTACTGGTGTCAACATTTTTTTTGAATCCAGGTGCTTACTATCACAATACTGCCAAAGAAAAATGCACATTACATACTGTTTTTTGAAATAGGTGATTTAGTTTGCCCCTAAAAACAACACCACCATAGAAATATTTGGAGTAGCAATCATTATCTTAATCATTGATTGAACTGATTGCTCCAAAGTTAGTCTATTAGAATCACTGGTATGCATACTAACATTGTTTTTGAAGGTTTTCTACTTGGTTGCTTTTCTATATGCCTCCCAAAACTTCACCTCCTTGGAATTGAATGGAAAAGTGAAATGGAGTTCAGTATCATTTGCATATTAGTGGCATTGCACTCCAAATTCCTGGTTAACCTTCCCAGTTGTTTCATGTAGATTTTATATTCTACATCCATTACATTTATACTTATCTGATCAAGGCAGAACAGAGCGGTACTATGACTTATCTTGATTGGGACACTATACTTCTGTTGATGCAGCCTAGAATAGCATCAGCTTTTTTTGCTACTGCATCACACTGCTGATTCATGTTAAACTTGTGGTCTCCTTTTCACATGTGCTATGGGCAAGCCAGGTGTCCCCCATCTTACGCTGCAGCTGGTTCATCCTGCCTAAGTGTAGAACCTGACATTTTTTTCTATTGAAATTCATTTTGTTTGTTTGGGTTCAGTTCTCCAATCTGTTAAGGTCTTTTAAAATCCTGATTCTGTCTTCTACGGCATTAGCTATCCCTTGTAGTTTAGTGTCATCTGCAGATTTGATGAGCATCCCCTTAATTCCTTTATCGAAGTCATTTCGAAAGACATTGAACAACAGTGGGTCTTTTTTTTTTGAGAAACCCATGCTGGGTCTTAGTAATCATGGCATCCTTTTCTAAGTGTTCACAGACCAGCTGTTGAATTATCTGTTCTAGGACTTTCCTGGTGTTGAAGACAAGCTGACCGGTCTTTTTTCCCCTTCTTGAAGATGGGGGACAACATTTGCCTGTTTCCAGTCTGCAGGGACCTCACCTGTTCCCAAAGAACTCTCTAAAATTATAGACAGAGGCAAACTCCTTTAGTACCTTTGAGCACAGCTCATCAGACCCTGGATATTTATTCATTCAAAGTAGCTAGGTGTTCCATTACCTATCTTGGGCTGCAGCTCCCTCCTTGCATCATTTATTCTGGTATCACCAGGTTGGGTTGCTTTCCTCCTGGGCGAAAACATAGGTAAAGTAGGAATTGAGCAGTTCTGCCTTCTTTCTGTCACCCAACAGCATTTCTTTCATCTTCTCTACGCAGAGGACCTATTATTTCTATGGTGTTCCCCTTGCTTTGAATGTAGCCAAATAAACTGTTTAAAATTATTTTAAACCTCTCTTGCAAGCCTAAATATTTATATTTTATTGAAGAATTTCAGTGAGAAAATAAAGTAAATGAACAGAAAAAAATAGAAAAATAAAAGGGAAAAAATACTTGGAATTGTGATACAATACAAATATAGGTAATTTAAGTCTCACACAACTACTGCATCTCTCCTTTTTTACTGTTTGGTAATCTGCTCTAGGAAAGCATCATCCAAGTCTTCAGTCTGGCTTGGAGGTCTATAGCAGACACCCACAGTGAGGTTACTGTTGTTTCCCTCTCCTACATCTCCTCTCAAATCATCCTTCCATGCTCAAGTCATTGGATCTCTTCACAAGTGTACACATCCATTACATTTAATGCTGCTCCTCCTTCCTTCCTGTTTGAGCTATTCCTTTTGAATAGACCCTCAATTTATACATTCCAGTCACCCCACCATGTTTCCATAATGCCTTTTAGATAATATTTGCCAACCTGTATTAAGAGCTCAAATTCAACTTGCTTGTTTTCCATACTCCGTGCATTAGTATAGAGACAACTGAAACAATGCATTATTCCCTCCAGTTGATTCCTTCTTGTAGTTTTTTGCTCTTTAGCATGCTTTTTTTTAGCACCGCCTCAGTTTTCTGTGCATCCATGAAGCTATTATCCCAATACCAGGTATTCCCCTGTCATATGTAATATTGTCTCTATCCCCCTCAGGAGGGGGACAGTATTGGCATCTGCTGAAGAGATTGGCATCTGCTGGAGCACCAGGGCAATAGAAACATCTTCCTTGCTCTGGCAATGAATGTGATAACAAAGCTTTCAGATTTTACTATTGTTTGTGACTGATTATCCATGTTTTGACTTTTCTATGCCAATCAAGCAGGGGCTGAGTACTTCTTTCCTTTGGGATTCATGCTAGCACTTTAAATGGGAACACTTCTTTGCAAGATTGTGTGGATTTATGATTAAAAGCTAAAGAATGGATTTCAGTGGGCCAAAAATCATTTATTAAAGGTCAGTGTGTTTTCAAAATTGGGCCTATGCAGTGAGAAGTAAGCACCGTAGCTCATTACTATATCACCCTTTACCAATTCACTATCATATGACTGTCAATTGAACCTAATAAACTGGGTATTATGTCATGTTCTGCTGCTGATAGTATCTATCAATCAATCTTTATTGGCATAGAAAAAGTGCATTGTATACATGGATCAGAATACAACACAGTTAACAAAACATAGTAAGAGATACTTTAGGATAAAACTGTCCAGTGAGGTACGAAAATGGCTCTTAGGACCTATGGTGACATAATCTCATAGTGTCACTCAAAAATCTTGCCACATTCTCCACAACATCATTACTACAATAGTTCAGCAGATAAGACACACTGGAAGAGTGCAGTAAATCCTTTCCTTCAGTAAGGGGGCCAAATACTTACCATATATTTTTGCATAAAATGGGCAGTAAAATAAAATGTGTGTATGGATTCAACCTGTTTTGTGCCACAAGGACATTATCTTTCAGAGTATGGGATTTTCGAGAATCTATCTTGCAAAACTGCAGATGGTAAGATGTTAAATCGCCAGGGAAAGAGTTCTGCATAGGTGGGAATCGTAAAGCTGGTGTAAATATGGAGTGTCCTGGCCAAACAAGTGTGGAATTCCCAACCCCAATGGGGAACAGGTTTTATTGGCTGTACTGCAAAGGGTTTGGAATTCATTCGCTAGGATTCTTCACTTGATTATCTGGAATACTTCCAATTGTGGGCTCTGCAGAAAGCTGGGCTCATTGCAATCCAAACTGGATACTGAGTAATATCCAGTGTTACTCAGAATAGACCCACTGAAATCCATGCACTCAGTCTGTGTATGACTAACATTGAATATTACCCTATATGTTGGGAACTAAAGTGCTAAAGCCTCCTTCATGACGCATATCAATGCAAACAAATAGTTTTAAGCTTTAATAATTTGTAAAATAGTGAAAAGTGTGCTTTGTTTAATTTCAGGAAAATGAAAAAGAGTTGGAAGAAGCTGAAGAATATAAAGAAGCACGTTCGGTACTTGAGTCAATAAAGTTAGAAGCCTAGATAGAGTAGTGAAAAATCAATGTATGCTTTGGGTCCATTGTTAACATAAATGGTCAGACATTAGTAAAATGTATTTCCTAAAGTAGTGCTAGGAATTATGATGTGCTCAAATGATCTGTACCTTTTTTTGAAACCATTTTTGAAAGTTGTAAAATCCACAATACAAATTACAAATAAAAACAAAAAAACAAGCCCAGAGAGCATTTTTCCTTATGATTTGTAATACAGAACGTATCTTACAGAAGTACAACAGTATTCAGAAACACACATCTGTATACAGTCTACACCAGCCTGGGCTGCTTTGTATACAGTTTAAGCACTTTATATGGAATCTTAGTGTTTTAGCATAAAGGTCCTGAAACACCTGCCCTTATTCTCCTTTGTATACAAGAGAGTGAAAGTTGTGGAGATCTTGATATATCTTTTCTGTAAGGGAGTACAGTGGAAATCTGACAACACATCTCAGGACTTTGCAATTTTTAATTGCTGTGGCATTTAGGTGTGCTCCCAAAATAAGGCTCAAAAGAAGGTGGGTCTCGAAGAAGCTATGTAAATCACTGTGTTATTAAGACTATCATTCTCTCTTGCTTTCTAATTCTGAGATCCTATAGATTCTAATATCCAAATTGTGATTCCTGTTTTTTAAATCCTTCATGTTTTCAGCTTTCCCCCCGATAGACTTGACTGATATTTCAACCCCATGTTTATAGCCATATTTGCCATTTTAGCCATGTCTGACAGCTTAGTCGCTGCTTTGGTCGCTTAAAAAATGCCTCGATAATAGCTGCCCATTCTGTAGTTAATTCTTTTAATGCTGCAGCTATGAAGCAGTTCTTAACCCCTCTCCCTTAAACAGTGTTGCTTTCTGGTGGGTTAAGTGTTTAATGGAGAAGTCATAGCCATGTTGTGTAAGGATATAGAACCTGTGTAACAGCTTACCCCACTATGTACTGAGAGCAGTACTGTAGAAGTAAGAGTATGAGAAGTGGCTAAGAAAAGAATACCATGCGACACAGGGAAATATGTGCCCTTTAAGGAAAAGAGAAATATATTCCATCTACCCTATTTCTGTTGTTGTATTGTTATATGGAAAAACATTATTGAAAAGAAAAACAAATAAAATGGTTTGACATCATGTACATTTTGGGCCTGTGATGGATTTGCATTACTTTTCTGCCCTCAGAGAAAAGACAGAGAAAACAAAATCATTTGGCCTCTCAAAACCAAGGTCCAGAAGAAACAAAGAAATCACACAACAACTGGACACGAGGGATACAATTAGGATAGCCCAGTCAGTAGAGCATGAGTCTCTTAATCTTGTGGGTTTGAGCTACACGTAGGGCAAAAGATTCCTGCATTGCAGGGGGTTGGACTAGATTGACCCTTGGGATACCTTACAATTCTTTGACTTTGACTCTAAAGGATCTGGAAACTAAGCCTTATGAGGAACAGCTGAGGGAGTTGGGTATGTTTAATCTGGATAAGAGGAGACTGAGAGGGAGATATAGCCATCTTCAAATATCTAAAAGGCTGTCACATGGAAGATGCAGCAAGCTTGTTTTCTGCTCTGGAGGATAGGACCTGTACCAATGGATTTGTTACAAGAAAGGGGATTCTAACTAAACATCAGGAAGAACTTTCTGACAGTAAGAACTGTTAGAAAGTAGAACGGACTCCCTCAAGAGGTTGTGGACTCTCGTTCCTTGGAAGTTTTTAAGCAGAGGTTGGATGGTCATCTGTCATGGATGCTTTAGTTGAGATCCCTGCATTGTAGGGGGTTGAACTAGATGACCTTTGGGGACCCTTCCAACTCTACAATTCTAGGATTCTATTATAGTGGCCGTTTTGATATGTAAATGTTAGGAAAACAAGAAGTGAAAGTAATAGAGAAAGTTTATTGTTCCTGCTGGGGTGTGTGTCTGCAGGTCCCTTTCTCCACCCACACAACATATAGCTACAGCAGGGGTTCTAAACCGGTCCACAAGCTTCATTCAGATGGTCCAGGGTGTGTCTGTGAATTTGTTGTTGAAGACAGGAGATGGCCCATCCATCTCATTAAAGATTTATACTGATTTTTGAATTGTATTTTATCATTTCTTTTATTTCTTACCTTGTATTTTATTGTATTCTATGGAATTTAGATTGTAATACAATAAAACACAATATTTGAAGAAATAAAAAAGCAATAAAATAACAATTAAGAATCATCAGCATCTAGCACACTGCATTATAATTGCTACAATGGGCAGAAAAATCATTAAGTAGTCTGCCAAGTACCACTGCAATTTTCAAGTGGTCTGGGGAGCGGGAAAGTCTGGGAACTACTGAGAAAGTCTAATGAATTTTATTCAGAAGAGCCTTGGAAAGGGAGTAGGTCTTACCCAGGTTTGAACAGAAGCAAATTATTAGCAATCATATGGTGCATTTTTGCTGAACTGAATTATTTTGGAGTGGGAGGAAATTTACCCATACACAGGGAGAGAGAGATGTATAAATATGCATGCATGCAGAAACTATATATGCTTGGGGAAAGGGGTCTTGCCAAAGATATACCAATTTTGTGGGGTGAGGGGGTATTGAGGGGTGATAAACATGGAATCTCCCATCAGCACTGAATAAAATGCTATCTCCCAGCAAAAGCTGCAGCAAATGAATCCTTGATAATTTGTTTCTGCTCTGCAATGCAAATTAAATGTGGATTAAAATGTGAATTTGGGGGACGGGGAGGTTCTGTTACGTAACCATGTTAACTTCCCACCCTTTTTACTTTATTGGTACTTGTTGGTAGATCAGAACTTTAGGAATTAAATTGGGGACTTGGTAATAAACATGTTATTCGTAAACCATACAAAAGTTCAAGTATTCCCAAACAGCACTCACTGTCCAGTCATTTCCTGCCACCTCTGGTCACTGCCTCCTGGCGATGCAATGCTTTGCTAGAAATAACTGTATTAATATTGTGTGCAGTGACCCTGTTAATTCCCCAGCGCATGCATCTAGTGAGCAACTGTCTCCATTACCAGAGTGCTTGCAAGGAAGAGAACCCAACTTACAGGAACCTGTGTTGCAGGCATAACATTGCTTGGGCTTCTCTGAATAAATCAGTTTATGAATTACATTACTGACTGAAAGATGTCATGCAAAAGTGTGCTCATAATTACATTTTAAGGGCTAAAGCTACATTTATTTATATAGATGATTTATATACTGCCACAGGGTGGTTTACAACAAAGCAAACAGATAATAACATGATCCTTTAAAAGGCAACAAACCACAGAACAGTTACTAACAAAATCAGCAGCAGCAATCCAGTCTCTTCTCCAAATGTCTTTTGAAAAAGATCTTAAGTAACCACAAAAAAATGTAGAGAGGGCCAGATGCACCTCAGAAGGAAGGAAATTCCATATATGAGGAGCTGCTATTTAAAAATTTCCTTCCTGCCCCCCACCCACCACCATGTACCTCATACTAAAGAGGGTCCACCAGGGAGGCCACATCTGCTGATCTTAGAGCACAGACCGGTTGATATGGAAGAAGGTGCTCTTGCTGAGACCCAAGCCGTTTAGCATCTTGAACTGGACATGGAAGACAATTGGCAACCAGTGTATTCACTAAGATGAGTAATATGTTCATGACCTGCTGCCCCTAGCAGCATTTTTGCTTCAGCAGTTTCCAGACCATCTTCAAGGGTAGCCCTAGTCCAGCCTGGAGGTTACCAGAGCATGAGTAACCATGGTCAAACGATCCCTGTCCAAAAATGACCATAGCTTGTACCAGGTGAAACTCTGCTTAGTTGCTCCTAGCCACTGAGGCCACCTGGGCAAAGATAGTTCCAGGAACAACCCCACATTATGCAACTGGTCCTTCAAGGTGAGTGAAACCCTATTAAGAACAGATAGTTCTGTCAACTTCTGGAAATCGGAAACCCACTTATGGCACTTCCATATTGTGTGGATTTAGCTTTAGTTTGTTGGTGAACATCCAGCCCATTGCTGCCTGATTAAGCACTTTCACTGCCTTTTGAGGTACTGATGAAACAGAGATAGAGCTGGATGCTAGTGAGACCTCACTCCGAATCCCCTGATGACTGGTCCCAGTAGTTTCATATAGATGTTAAATAGCATGTTTAACAAGACTGAACCCTGCAAGACCCTGAAGGAAAGCTCCCATGTGGCCAAGCAAAAGTCACCCAATCTCTGAAAATGTCCTTGGAGATACGAGTTGCACCACTGCAAATTCATTACTCTCCTTTAAACTGACCAGGAGGGAAACATGTATGTATTCTCACCTGTGTCCCCACCACCACACACATAAACATTTATGTTAACTTAAAACACAGGTGTGAGGATTCCATGCTTTGAAATTACCATTCCAAATCAAGCATAGGATTTTGGCTCAATTGTTCATGCTGCTGCTTAATTTTGGTCAATATTTAGAACAAACAAAGGAACCTTGATTTGAAATGTATCTGTTTTGCAAGTTGGAGTGCAATGATTTAGAATCTCCCTTCTACCTCCCTGCACCCCACCCCCCATCTTCTTCCCAAATCTCCTCTGGAGGGTTGGGGAAGACCTAAAACAGATGTTGGTGGAGTGCAAGGAAGAGGAGAAGGAGGAGACGTTTCATTTCATGTGTTTCCCTTGCTGGTTCAATGGGACATGCATAGCAGAACTTGCTGGTGTACTAAAGGTTCCTATAGGAGGAGAAAAGGGGAATGATAGAATTAGAGAGGCCATTTTTTGTTTCAATAGGCTGGAAGCAATATTCATAGCAAGGCTCAAAGAACTGCTTTTGGATACATACTCAAGAACTGCAAAAACAAACAATCCCAATGTATTTCCAGAGCATTTATTTTGGCTACCCTCTTACACCTCAAAATAACCAGAAGGATTCAGACTTAGTATTGCTTAGTTACAATTTCAATTAGCGTATTCTAATTTAAGCCCCATTGATTTCACTGGGCCTATTCTCATATGCCTAATTCTGGACCCATTGCACAGTACTTTGTTGTACTATACTAAAGTGGTTTCACTCCTACTGCTAGAGTTGTTTCCAGAAAGTAGATATGGGAGGCTATTGTTCAGTGCCATGGAAGTTGCAGTGTCCTGCATGGTTCAATCTTCACACCCATACTATTTAGCAGCTCTATGAAGCCATTGGGAAGTTCAGGAGTTTTGGAGTGAAGTGTCACCAGCATGCATCTGAACCAGGAAGGTCAGATGCGAAGAGGGGGAAATGTATTGCTGTTGCCTGTCCTTGCTCTGCAAATAACAGAAGGGTTTCAGGATAATAAGGACTACACATTTTATGAACACATTTCTGAACTAAAGTTTAACCGGAAGTTAATTTACAGTGGGAGAGGTGAGAAGCAGAGCTTATTCCATCAACTCTGCTGGGACAGACCATCAGGCCTCCTCTCCCTCAAGTGTCACCAGGGAGGGGCCATTCCATAAGCCTCCCTCAGTGGAAGAGATAAAAACCAGAGCTAATTCCATCCGCTTTACCAAAAGCCCAGCTCCATTAGGCACTTCCTATGCCAGAACTGTGCCAGCTGGTCATTATAAAAACAACTATTTGAGAATTGGTGCCTGAGTTTAATTTAAAAACAAACAGGCACTGTCCCTCCCTATCCCTCTTACCTTGTGTGTGTCATTGTTTTTTAAGATTGTAAGTTTTGGTCAGGGACTGCCTTGTTTTAATTGATTGTATGTAAGCTACTCTGTAGTGATGTATGGAAGTGAGAGCTGGACCATAAAGAAGGCTGATCGCCGAAGAATTGATGCTTTTGAATTATGGTGCTGGAGGAGATTCTTCAGAGTCCCATGGACTGCAAGAAGATCAAACCTATCCATTCTGAAGGAAATCAGCCCTGAGTGCTCACTGGAAGGACAGATCGTGAAGCTGAGGCTCCAATACTTTGGCCACCTCATGAGAAGAGAAGACTCCCTGGAAAAGACCCTGATGTTGGGAAAGATTGAGGGCACAAGGAGAAGGGGATGACAGAGGACGAGATGGTTGGACAGTGTTCTTGAAGCTACCAACATGAGTTTGACCAAACTGTGGGAGGCTGTGGAAGACAGGAGTGCCTGGCGTGCTCTGGTCCATGGGGTCACAAAGAGTCGGACATGACTAAATG